TGCTCGGCGGCGCCCGAGGGCCCCTTCCCTGCCCACCTGGTGGACGTCAGCGGCACGGGGACGCTGGCGCACTCCTACCAGTATGAGGTGTGTCTGAGGGAAAGCTCAGAGACCAGCGATTTCAAGTTTCTGAAGCCGATTGTCCCCAATGGTCTCATTCAAGACACTTAGCAGGACTATTGCAAATTATGTCTTTCAGTAATAACTGTGTTCCTGGGCCGGGGAGATGGCTTAGTGGAAAAATTGCTCCCCTGGCAAGCGCAAGGGCCTGTGTTCAATTCCTCGTTCAATTGCTCTTCCTATGGACTTTTATGTTAATCATCACTTTTCTTTATTCATTTTTACCTATCCCATGCATAGTACTTTCTTTACTTTTATTCATAGATCAAATATAAATTCATTATATTTAGTTGTGATTATTTAGCAACTCATTTCCAACTCCATGTTTCAAAGTAATGTAGTAATCAGACTTCTATAGTACCTATTTGTAATTTATCTGTGTAAATATATCTGTTAAGTTTGCTTCATAATATTCCTTAAGTAGCTTTGTCTATGGTTAAGTTGAGAAATTTCAACATGTATTTCCTTTAGGATATAGCAAGCCGTCTTTTTTGTATGTGTATCATACCCAAATGAAAATAACATTGAATTCATTTTCTGTATTGACATTTTGCAATTAAGGTTTCAGTATTATGCAGATTTGTTACAATCAAAAACAAACACAAATTATAGGTTAATGAAGCAATCTTCTCTGAGATCATCCCTGTAGGGTTGCTCAGAATGACAGCTGAGGAGAAAAATCTAAGCCGTTTTAAACATCGGATTGGGGTTTCCAGTATGCATGTCACTTAGTAATGCACCTAGGGGAACTACAATTTGGTTTGTACATTATCAAGTATGCTTGTGAAGATCTAAAGGGCTTTTTTTTTAATTTCAAGAAGCACACAAATGTAAGTTCTCTAAATTCTCAATACTGAGTGCTACACACACATACACACATATGTATGTATTGCTACTATATATATAAATATATATACATATATATATGAAAAATGTTTTCTTCCTGTCTTTGTTTCCTCCTTCAGATGACAATCAGATATGACTGGCTTATTTACAGTTTTGTTGGAATAAAAATTTCCCTCAACATCAGCTTCCTAGTTCCTATATTGTAATTAAAGAACATGTATAAGATTAGGAAGTTCTAAAGAGAACAAAAACAATATTGTGAATTTTGTCAAAATCTTAATTAGCTACAATTAAGAATAAAATCTGGAAATAATCAAAACACAAAGTCATATGGCTATTTTGAGTAAAAATTAAATTTTTTCAAATAACAAAATATTTTGTCCTAAATTAGATAAAATTGTTAGGAAAAATTTATCCACATAAGTGCTTATTCTGAGAGACAGAACTTTCCAGAAATTCAATAATCTTGATTATAGGAGAGTTGGAGCTCTGAAATATTTTAAGAATTACTGAAAGAAAAAGTATTGTTATGCATTTCATCATATATATTTCATCATCATCTTATATTTCATCTAAGTTATAATCACATTTAAAAGGTGCCATCCTGTATATAGAATTTTGTGGCAGAGAACATTATTACAGCTCAGCATGCAGTGGGCCAAGATGTAATCCCGAGAGAGAGAGAGAGAGAGAGAGAGAGAGAGAGAGAGAGAGAGAGAGAGAAAGGCTATTTACAGTTTGTCTCTAAATAAATGGATAAACAGAAGGTGTGTTTGAATCCTTCATACTCAAAGAAAAACACATTTACTTTCACTCTATATACTTTATGGAGATGTTTGAAAATGGCTTTGCTTTTTTTTTTTTTTTTGGCAGAACTGGGGATTGAACTCAGGCCCTTGCACTTGCCAGGAAGTGCTTATTCCACTGAGCCATCTCCCTGGCCCTGAAAATGCCTTTGATCATTTTTTTCTTTCCTCATCTTTAGCTGAGATTCAATGACGATAAAAAAGGAAAATAAATTCAGATTAAGATTTTTTGACTCCTTAGTTTCTAATAGTATTAGAGCTGGGGAAGTATTCAATTGTGGGACAAATATAGGAAAGTTTTCTGGGGGACAATTATGGTGAATGATCTGAGACTAAAGTTGGTTGGAAGGGGTATATGCTAAGGAACTATTTAGACTTCCAAGACAGACTACTCTTAAAAACTTAATTCATAAATGGATTGATCTACACATTGTCAAGAAGATGAACAGAATTTAGCAAAACCAGAAAAACTAATCTGGACTAAATTTTAAGATGTAAAACAGGCACATCTTACCCTTGGTTGAACATGACTTTTATTTCGAGGCACTCTGAAACTGTTTATCCATTTATTTAAAGACAAATTCAAAAATTCCCTTTAAATATTTTATTAAATGTAAGACAATGAGTGACTACCTCATATGTAGTAGGATCTATTCTTACCGTTCTTTGGAACTCCACAAACTGAACATCTGGGACAAGATAAAAGGGGTAACTTTGTATTTTTATAACAATGTTTTAGCCTTTACTGAAACATCTATTGAACTTCAGTATCAAAACTGAAAGGAAATCTATAAGGTTTCAAATTCTTTTAAAAAACATGTTTTAAATAATTTTGTTGAGAAACAAATAGCAATGAGACAGTTTCAAAACTGATTAGTAGGACAGTTTCAATAATTAATACATTGCATATTGTTGTCTTCTTAGTGGTTATTCATTGTACAGGTTGCAGACATGATATCCTGTCCACAAACACTATTAGTACAATCTTTCTGTTCACTGAATTAAGAGAAAGTAGTTGTATATCTATCCTAACTATTTTGAATGTATAGATACAAAATGGTCCTTCATTTGTATCCCCTTCTTTGTTTAATTTTGCCAGAGATGGGTATTCAATTGTCATTTACATATTGTAGGTACATGAATTCAGCAAAATATTCCAATATAGCCCAGTAGTCCATAATAGTAGTGGGTTATCCATAGGACTGGCAATGAGGTTAAACTCAACTGCCTATGTTGTACGGTAATAATAATAAGCTTCTCTTCTGGAGGGTTAACAGCTTAAGTTTGCAGACCAAAAATTAGAGAAAAAGAAGGGCTGCAAGGACAGCCAACATTTTGGCCCTAGCCTTTCAAGGTCAGTTTGGACTCAGGACATAGGAGAACCAGCACTGTAACATCATGTAATTCAGTTGTGTCCCAAATTTTCTGATGAAGGAGATTACGGGGCCACAGAGGAAAGTGATCGATGATGTAGAGTGTGCCTAAGGAGAGTCACATGGAGAGAAAACATTCTGTCAGGCTTTTGCAGAGAGCAAACTGGTCAAGCAATGGCCATGACTTATCCATATGGCTGACACTGACAAAGGATCTACAAACTGCGGTACAGGGTTTCAGGATAAATCCTGACATGATTTGACTGACCTTGTCAGATCCAAAAGTTACATTTCTTGTTATATAGTCTTGCTTTATCTTAGTCTTAACCAACCATCCAGCAGAAAAGTATAAAAACGAAGTATAAAAAGGCCAAATATGCTGAGTTGTAAAAGGCTCAAGTCAACAACTTCTGACATTGCCTGTCCTATGGAAAAACTTTCAATGACCATTTATTTTCAAAACAATTCTATATAGTATGTAGTTTTTCTCAAAAAACATATAATTTCAGAAATAAATATTTCCTTGAAATTAGTAGAACAGTGTTTAAAACTGAAAACAAATGAAATGAATTTTAAATATTTATCTGGAGTTGTTATAAGCCTAAGATATATTGAAGCATCAATCACTCACCAATATACTTAAATACCAATTAAATCTAGTGATGTAACTCACTATAATTTCTGTAATTTTTTATCAGTAAATGGTACTTCTTTGCAAATGAGAACTTCAAAAAATGAACTTTGCTATGTATGCTGCATTTTATTCTGAAATATCTTTGCTTCTTAGTATATTGCTTGATTTTTTAAGCCAAAAATCTGTAAGACATAATTTAGAGTTATTCCATGTGAAGTGCACATATGGTTCATCAGCAAGTTATTTAACATAGACTAAAAATTAAGCTGCTTTTCCTTTGGTCCTTTTGCTGTTTGACATGGCTAACAAAAAGCATGATGTCATTATACGTCTCACCTCACCTTTGAACCATTTTTTGTTTTCAGGGTTTTGCCTTTATTCTTGATGCTCTCATGTTTGTTATTCCTCAACTTTATATTCACTTAACATATTCTATTTTCTTGGTTCCAGTAACTAATCTTTTCTTCCCAAATTTCCATTTGACATATCTTCAT